AGACGGGGGCGGGGCTACTAACTCGCTCAGGCAGAAGAAACTGCCGGAAACGACCAAATCGCTTACTGCTGCTTTAACATGTATTTTGTTGGAAAAGCTTTAGAACAGAATGGAACACAAAAATAAAACTTCCAGTGAGATTTATCCATGCATTTTTAAGTAATAAAAAATAATGTAGAATGATGGCATCAGTGGGGCTGAGCAATACGATATGCATCTTAAACAATCTAAACAATACAATTAAGTTAGGATTAGTGTTAGGGCTAGCAAAGATACATTTATATTTTATTTAATTGAAGATTATTTGTTATTAAAGTCAAAATATGAAAACAAAATCACTCACCTATATTTATATGTACTTATTTGTGTGGTACTCCAGCTTTCTTTCAGAATTGATCATGGCCCGAGATAGACAACATGGTTATATTTATAGCTGTAAGTTCAAAACGCAGAATCCATGCAACTAGACTGCAAAGAAGCATTTTGAAGAATACTTTCACCACAGACTAAAGCAATGCAAAACATGCAAGTCTGCAGCGGTGGAATTCTTGCATCTCCGACACTTTTGTCATCTCAAAGACAAAACAGTGCGCGGAACTCATGCCTCTCAAAGCGTGCCAAAAGTCACACGCAAAGACACAAAACTGCGTTGGATGTGTGAAACCGTCTCAAAATGCTGTCGAAGTTGGCAACAGCTCATCTTGGTCTATTCTTTCCCTCTTTGTCCTGGCTGTTTCTTGATGAATTCCTTTAGTGTAGCAGAGAAATGTTGTGTGCATGAGGCCGGCATGTCACAGCTCAGCAGCAGAAAGCTGGAGAGTGGAGAAGAGAGGCGCATTAAACAGCCCCTATCCTCTGCTAATGAGGGATTAGACAGTGTTTAAGAGCATAAGAGAGGCCGTAAAACAAACGAGTGTGCCAAAAAACTCTATTGGGAGTGGAAACAAATGTCTTCTGATTAGTTTAATTCCGTTTCATTTGTTGGATGTTGCCCATTACCTTAAAAATGCAATAAAAGGATAGGAAATGTTGATAATGATTGGTTTTGGGAAAGGTGTGTGGAAATATTGTAATATTTTGTATACAATTCACTGACAATGATCCAATTGCTGTACTTGACATGACTTGGTGACAGGGGCTTTCATTTCACTTGAGGACCTCTGCATCCAGATAAACTACAGTGGTAATCTTTTTTCATATATATGCAATTGGAAATTGCCATGACAAATTACTGCTTCTTTTTCTTTTAGAGCCAAGATGGAGAGCAAACATTCCAAAACTCTACTGGTAGACTTTGACTGTGACATTGATTGGTAAAATTATCTGTTCCCTGAACAACCCAAACCACCAACAGATACATTTGAACATTTTACATAGGGTTATAGGCCCCAGAATACTTCATTGCCCTCCAACATACTTGTATGGAGATTTGGGCTGAGTGAGGGTGGTCCTTTTTATTTCACTATTATCTCTTAAAAGTTGATCCAAAAGATATGCATATGAAAACTAGCGATCGAAACAAACCTTGTTGAGAATGAGGATGGAAACCTTGTTGAGAGGGAGGATTTAATGGATTTCATTACATTACAAGTTACGTAGCTCAACTTTATAGAAATAAGGTTCAGGCACAAATCTGGGGATCTTTAACCAAGAATACAGTAGTGCATAAATAACTGTAAATGAAAGCCAAGATAAGAACAAAAAATAGAAGTTGACTTGTGAGTTTTCAGTCTGAGTCCAACTCCAGTTAAATCTAGCCTCTTACTTTTTCAAATTCAATTACATATCCTCAAAATTGACCAAAGTAAATCAGATATTTTACCTGAAGCTTTAAACACAGTCTTAACATCCATATATATTTGGGGAATTGATATTTATGTCCAAGATCCCTCCGCCACGTCCATTTATGTTTGGCCCGGAGCTCCTTGTCGAAGCCAGGTATTTCAGAGTAAATATTTTCCTCCTCATCTACCTCTAAATAAATCCTGTCTGCCACGAGTCTTCACACATTAAGGAAGCAATGTGTTTCTTAACAGGGATGCAGATTCACGCAGGAGGCTCGAGCTGGAGAAAGGCCAGGTAATAAATCAATGTATGGAACTCCAAATATAAAAAATAATTGATATTTTTAAACAGATCTGCTTCAATGCATAGTGGCCCCTCACTAAAACACGGTTCACCTTCCCTGATTTTCTGAATGAAATTTGCTTCTCATTCGTTGCATGTATACTCCAACAGCATCATATAACTCCTACTCCAAGTTATTGTTTAATTTGATATTTAAAGCCTATAAGTATTTCTTCCCTGCAAAATAAATGTGATTAAAGACTACATAGTAAATTCTTGATTATGTGTCTGTGGTCATAAGCTTTTCCTTCATTCAAAACCTTTTTAAATTGTACGTACAAATGTGTGTCCAGTAGGGCTGTGCTTTTTTTGTCTCATTAGATACAAAATCATCATTTAACAATATTTTTTTTCAGAAAAATTAAAATTAATAAATTAAATGTGAATAAATTAAAAGATCCTTTACTGAATTGTATTATCCATCCATCCATCAATTTTCTACCCTTTAATCCATTTCTGGGTCAGGGGGGTGGCAATCAGAGATGCCACCCAAGTCTCATAGCACGGACGGCTGCTCTCTGAGTGTGAGCATAGCCTTGATCTTTCAGTGGGGGCTTTGGGCAAAGTGGGGTTAAGTGTCTTGCCCAAGGACACAACGACAGCAGTCATCAGTGGGAATCGATGGAGAAGGTGCAGAGGTGGGAATTGAACCCATGACCTCCTGGCCTTAAGGCCAATGCTCTACCAACTGAGCTACTGTCGCCCTGAATTGTATTATATTGTTTGAAAACTTTATCATATTGAATTGAAGGTTTCCTGTAATGAAATGCATGCGTCTTGAAAGAAAAAACCCAGCTCTAATTTTCAGTGGAATAGCATTTAACATTACCCATTATCAGTATTGAACAAAATATGCTCAAAAGAAATAATTTGTGCATACTTGTATTGTGTCAGTTGACCTCTTGGCATCATGTTAAAAGCCCTATTGTAGGTACACACACATTCAAAAACTGCACCAGTGATTGATCTCTTCCGGCAGTACCTTGAGTGCATCTCGATGAGCTGTGATCTAGCCATCTTTTTTTTCATTTCCGTATTAAATCAAGTAATTACAGTTACTCCAATCAGTCCAAGAGCTGTAGCTGAGGAGAGCTGGCAGATAGCGATCAGTTTGACAGAGACAAGTCAACAACACCTCTATCGCCTCACACATTTCCCTTGGCTACGGCATTCTTTATCTCTTCATTATGAACTGATATGAGATGGGAGCGTGACAGTTAATTGTGTTGCCTCTGCTGCATCCAACTGTTTGTTGTAATAAGGTCATTATATTTAGCTGTGGTGGAATGCATATTGAACCTGTTATCACAGCAATAGGAGGGCACTTTGGGATATCTACGTACATTGTGTAGCCAAGATTTCAAAATTAAGTCATGTGTTTGTGTGTTTTGGCTGTGTTAATAATTGATTTGAGATTTGTTCAAGCCTGGTATAATATCGTTGGAATGTGAGTTTTGATATGCGTTACGTGTTGTTCACGCGTCAAAAACAGACCTGGAATTGATTACAAGCACCATTCATTTAAATATCAGGAACTTTCTGCGCAAATTGGTCTTTTCGCCCTTGTTCAAATGGATCTTTCTCAAACTCTGTATGCCATTACAAATCTGTAAAATATGACGTTGTGGACAGCCATTTTCTTAAAAAACAGATTTCTGCCAGGTATTCAGTCCAATGACATGTTTTACCACTCCATATTGGGCTCTGAGGTCTGTGGATCAGAATCTGCTGACTGTTCCATGCCCTCGCAATTTGACAAGAGGATAAAATCCATCCGGGTTGTTTTTCCACCCAGAGGAAGCCTTCGCAGAGACACACTTAGAAAGGCTCTGTTCCGACCAGGATTTGAACCCAGGATCTTCTTGCTGAGAAGCAAGCTAAACACTTAATGTAAATATACTCTTAAGATTCTGTTCAGAACCCATCAGCATCCGTTTCAAACTACACAAGAAGTATATTTTTGACAGAATAATGCTGCAGCGATAAGAATGAAGTTGAGTAAAGTAAACATGTCATAACTCTAAACCTTTTCACTTCAGACCAAAAGCAGAGTTGGACATCAACTGGCCATTCAAGGCGGCCTAATTACTGGGCAAAACTTTAGTCACAGCAGGAATTCAGCTTTGCTTTCACTTCTCGTGGACACATCCCGAGTTTTAATGGAAACAAAAGTTTTACAGGCATTATCCAGAAGCAGCCAGTACCTTCTACTTTTTTATCGTGACAGATTGCAGATACAAGGAGGGGAGAAAGTACGTTGGATTTAGACATTTGATTTAGTTTAGATTTAATGAGTAGAGGAGAGGAAGACAAAGCAGAAAAACATGTCCTCTTTGTCTGCTCAAGTGTCAGTTATTAAAAGCTGGGGTACTTATATCTTCACTATCGTCAATAATCAATATTTAACGCTGAGAGATGATTGGCTAAGTAAGGGTTCCCATTTCTTTTTTGCTTGTCTGTGTAGGGTAACTACTTAATATTGCTGATTATAATTACTTATTAGTATAAATTTGGTAGTGTGGAGCGGCTAGTCTCCGGAGCGGAAGCTCGCCGTTCCACCAACAGGTCTATGTTATTTATTTTGGGCACCAGCAGAGCTCGAAATCTGCACACAGACACAAACCAAATCTTTGCCTCGATATCAATCTTATAATCTAAAGGTGTAGAATACGTTTTATCCGCCAGTGATAGTCCGAGATCTAACAACACGACTCTGATAGGATTGAGTTAAAGAAAAGGGATTTATTGATTACAAAGTGGGATGAAGCATAACGAAAAGGGATTTCTGGTCACATTTGAGTAGGAACTGTACACATTTCATTCAAATTGAACATTTAACACTGGAGCAGTCTTACTTTGGAGGAGCGTAGAGGATGGAGAAGGGCTTTGGGTTGGGAAACAGCCCACGTGGTTTCTTTGTCCGGGCAGGCGGGAGTTATGAAGCCTGCGGGTTTGGTCCAGCTGTTGGTGCACGCGAGCCAGGGAAAGAGGCTGGTGATGAACAGTTCGTAGATTCCAACCAGAAAGGAGGCTTGCGTGAAAGCGGGAGGCCTCGGGCGGACGGCACAGTCGTTGCTGGAGGCACGTACTTGCGTGGCCGCAGGGCTGAGAGGGAGGTTGCGAGCGTAGGCCGTGTAGGGGACACGTACCCACGGGGTGGTTGTTATAGTGGATTCGGGAGAAACAAGAGAAAGAACAATGGCGTGTGGGTGCTCATATAGGCTTCCCAGGGGGCGTGTCCATGCCGCCCCTGCCCTCTGTGGACAGACCCCTTTTACAACAGACAGTTTGTAAAGGAAACACACAGGATTGATGCTAATAATCATAAGACATGTACAAACACACACCGTATTTCATTACTTTGACACTGATACACACATATGGGGCACAATGCAGATTATTGGAGTACTGGACCCAGGGGTACCGGTTCGCAATTGTCTGTCCCGGGTGTGATAGTGTCCATTGTTCACAAGGGGGCGTCAGAGCGCCGCGGGGGAGTCTTTGATTGTCCGGTGGCAGGAGTCTGTGAGCGAGGGCAGGGTTGTGATCTTTGATCTCTACAGGCAGGCAGAGACAGAGGTGCTTATCCCCGTGGTGACTTTATTGCTCTTTTTGGCATCTGTAATCCTCATGATTGATGGCGGCTTGTGGCTGACCCCATGGCTCCTTTGAAGCTGTATCTCTCCATTTGGTCAATGGTAAACAGAGTGGACAGGCTTGGTCCTGCCCTAAGTTTAACCTTACATACCCCCCCCACGGCAGAGATGCACCTTCCGACAAGGTGCATGTCATGTCGGATATGCTGTGGGGTTGTCTTCAGTCGGTCTTCTCGCCTGTTCGGGTGTTAGTGTACAATTTGTGGTGACATGTTACAACATTCCCGTCTCAATGTGACTCAGTAGCTCGCAAGCGCCTAACTGGGGCAGGCTCGTAGCGGTTGGGTCTCGGGCCTCTGGCTTGGTTTGTCGAGGCCGGGTTTTCTCTAAGGCGAGTCCTGGCCCTGCAGGCCAGTTCTAACCGGGATCAGGGGTTTTAGGGAGTGAGCTCCGGCCGTGAACTCTAAGGTTTGGGCCGGTGCGCCTGACTCCTGGGTCTCTTGGTCTGGAAGACTCAAAGTTCCAAGCCAAGAGAGTAGCAGGAGTTTCTACTTTAGGGGACTAGGATACAAAATAGGAAACTTCAAAAATCAAAAAGGGTGGCTGCCTTGGCAGCGGGTAGGAGCGTCGTTAAGGCACTCGATGGTGAGGGGTTCCCATCTTGCTCGTTCTAAAAGGGGAGTGTGAGGGTTACACGAATATATGACGTAGCAAGTGGGGCTTTAATTACGAGGGACATTTCCTGCATATAAATGGGGATGACAGGCATGATTGTCTAGGAGACTGATTAGGTATCGAGGTAGGTTGGTTGGGTCTGAGCTGGTGACTCTTAGTGGTGTTTTAGGCCCTTGGTTCACCTTCCGTGATAGAAAGGGTGACCGCCTCGAGTGGGTGACTTTGGAGGTCCTCGTACTCTGACTCATTGACCTGGGGACGCCGACTCAAATTGCCACGCTCGACGGCGCTGTCGCCCCGGTTTGGTCGTCTACGGATCTGTCTCGTCATTGCCTCCGTGCACCTGTTAAAGCTATCGCGGAGTCGTCTAACCCGTCTATTTAGGACGAAGGCCATGACTACGACCAGGCCGTACCCGAGTCCTACCGCGATGGCCATGACTGTATCGGGGGCGGCCCAGGAGTAGGCTACTGGTTGGTGGTGGATGGTCGGTCGCTTGGCAATCTCTTGAAGGAGGTTGTCTACGACCGTAACGTCAACGGTTTGTGCCCCCTCGTAGGTGGCTTGGACTAGGGTAGAGGGTTGAAGTTCCAAGGCCCTTTTCTCAAAGAACTCTGGTACCTCGACCTCTGCCTCGTACTGGTTTGGGTACAGGTGGTATAGTGCCAGGTCAGCACGAGAAGGAAAGTGGGCCACATGTTCTGCAAGGCGTGAAACAACTGTTAGGGGTTAGACAGAGACAGAGAGAGAGAGAGTCGATTAGTGCAGCCGAGAAGAGTGTTAGTGAGTGCTGGGCTAATCGTGTTTGAGGTCACGTGGTGTGTTCCTAACTGGGTTTTGAAGTGTGCCCTGCTTGTCCCATGGGGCTTTGTTTGTGTGGTTTGGTTTGGCTGTAACGGGCCCATCTGAGGGTGGGCTCTCTACCTTTTGTGACCTCGATTTGGTGCACTGCGGTTGAGAGTTTGTTTCCCACCCTGTATGGTCTTGACCAGCGGGGTAACGATTTCCGGCGTAGTCTGGTGGGGCCGGTCCCCGCATGTCCTGGGGAGTGTGCCAAGGTGTAATACCATACCTGGTTTTTGACCTGGGGGTGGTCCTGCGGGTCGGTCCTGTATTGGTTTGTCCTCAGGGGCCGGGGGAGTTTCACGTTCTCGACACTCCGGTTTGGGGATACATACCTTAGTATTTTGGTCCCCGTCCGGTCCGTTGTTTCCACCTGTTGTGGTGCCTGACGTGTGTCATGGGCGTGTGCCAACATTACCCCCCCCCTGCTTCGAGGCACCACGAGTACCGACGAAGTGAGTGTATCGGAAGCAGAGTCTAACAGCCCATGGAGTATCGGCAGTATTAGGGCGCGGCGTTAAACCGCAGCGGTAGGCGCGGCGTAAGGGACGCAGCGTGAGATGCACCTGCGTGGGAGACGCAGCTGTGGCGTTTGAGACGCAGCGTGGGGCGCGGCGTAAGGGCGCGGCGCAAGGGCGCGGCGTTTAGGTACGCAGCGGCGTTAGAGGCGCAGCTGTGGCGTTTGAGACGCGGCAGCGGCGTTTTAGACGCGCCAGCGGCGTAAGGGTGCGCCGTGAGGGCTCGGCGCAAGGGCGCGGCGTTTAGAGACGCAGCGTGGGGCGCGGCGTGAGGGCGCGCCGTAAGGGCGCGGCGTTTAGGTACGCAGCGGCGTTAGAGGCGCGGCTGTGGCGTTTGAGACGCGCCAGCGGCGTTTGAGACGCGCCAGCGGCGTAAGGGCGCGCCGTGAGGGCGCGGCGCAAGGGCGCGGCGTTTAGAGACGCAGCGTGGGGTGCGGCGTAAGGTAGGAGACGCAGCGTGAGAGACGCAACGTGAGAGACGCAGCGCAGGAGACGCAGCGCAGGAGACGCAGCGTCGGTTTGAGACGCAGCGTGGGGCGCGGCGTAGCTTGAGACGCAGCGTAGGAGACGCAGCGCAGGAGACGCAGCGCAGGGCGCGGCGTAGCTTGAGACGCAGCGTCGGTTTGAGACGCAGCGCGGGGCGTGGCGTGGCTTGAGACGCAGCGTAGGAGACGCAGCGTGAGGGACGCAGCGTGACGTAGGGGCCACACCGCCGGCGTGCGAAGTAACGCGTTGCTTGCGTTCGTCAACAGAGTGGGGCGATGACGCAAGAGTGGCCACACCAGCAGCAGCAGCAGCAGCGTTGTACCGCCCCACAAAGGAGAACAGGCTTCCTTTCAAATCAATGCACATTTATGAAATATGGCATATCTAATTTATATAATATCACAACGCTCGCTTTCGTCCTGTATTAACATTGTTTGAGTGACTATTGAACGGTGATTTATTAACTAAATGTAATTACAACACAGTTCGGGAAAGTTGTTTACTGTTGTCATGGAAATCCACCTTTTGTACAGATGCAACATTGACCATGCGTACTATCAACATAGACTGTGTAAAAAGTCTCAAAAGGTGTGCAGTGTCCTAATGCTGGATATGAATGTCTTGGCCTTGTATGTATTCATAATGTTCCAAGTAACCCTGAATCTGTTGCGTTAGGACCTCACAATCCTTCCCTACACAAATTTGCATATGTTCACACCGAAGTTGCTTTGGGGGATGTTGAGTCTTTTGGTCCTTTGTTAAGTAGTAGGCTGTATCTCTGTGTGGAACTTGATTAACCAATAGGAAGTAGTCTGTTGAAACAAAGAAGCTAAGGAGTGAGTACAGGTAAAACATTTTCACTCCTTGTTCAGTTACCAGTGCTGTGTGGACTTGATTTCTTGGTGCTGACAAGACCTCTTGTGATCAAAGAAATGGGTAAGTGTAGGCCTAAACATGTTTGTATGTTAAAATGTGGTTAATCTGAATTGGCAATATGTTGTTGCTCTATCAATTTTTACATTTTTTACATTATTCATTAATTTATTTACAATTATTTTGGTCCTAGCTCCAGCTATTAACCGCAGAAGAATTGCAGCTGCTCTCCTTTTATCAAGAAGAAGACAAAGACGAATAACACGCTCTTGGTGGGTGCATCCACTGAATCAGAGAAGAGCATCACATGGGGCATTTTACCACCTTGTGGCAGAGCTGCAACTGTTTCCTGACAGATACCACTCTTATTTTCGAATGTCTGTTGCGAAGATGGAGGAGCTCCTGTCCATTGTTGGACCTGAAATACAAATGTGTGACACCAATCATCGCTCTACAGCCTCGATAAGTTGCTCTTCCATCTTCTCGTCTTTCTTCTCTGAACAGGTTAGTTACGTCACTACCTCTAACGACGGGGTCACGCACAGGTCGAAGTGAATCCCTGATAATAAACTAACACTTTATATTTCATAAATGTTATAGAAACTGTTTATGTGCAAGTAGCGAACATTTTCAATGTTCCCTATTTCCCAAAAGAATAAATTCACAAACAATATTGAAAAGACGTTTACTCACTATTAAATATAGGCCATAGACAATATATTGTGGGGGGTGGGAGTTGGGGGTGTAAATGAATGTTCTTTTTTAAATGCATTTTTAATCTGTAAAGCACTTTGAATGTTATGTTGTAGCCTATGAAAAGCGTTTTATAAATAAATTAATACAAATATTTATATCAATGAAGTTTTATTGATATTGTCTAAAATGTCATTCTCCTGCTAGCTGTTTAGTTTAGACTACGAACAAAGTTATATGCCCATGTATATGTCAGAATTATAATATTTCATCAATTTTAGAAGTCTTTCCTTCGGGACACTAGACGAGCGCTTGACGCACGCCCCCAAAAATAGGATTGATTCTATCTTCTCAACGCGTGGCGCCACTAGCGCGCTGTGCCTCGCGCGTGGTATGCGCGGACAGTGTGGCCACTTCCAATCCGCTTCAATTAGAGCTAAGTAAAAAATCAACGGTTGCCAGCTACGCAGCGCTTCGCACGCAGGCGGTGTGGCCCCGGCCTGAGAGACGCAGCGTGAGAGACGCAGCGTGAGAGACGCAGCGTCGGTTTGAGACGCAGCGTGGGGCGCGGCGTAGCTTGAGACGCAGCGTCGGTCTGAGACGCAGCGTGGGGCGCGGCGTAGCTTGAGACGCAGCGTCGGTCTGAGACGCAGCGTGGGGCGCGGCGTAGCTTGAGACGCAGCGTAGGAGACGCAGCGTGAGAGACGCAGCGTGAGAGACGCAGCGTGGGAGACGCAGCGCGGGAGACGCAGCGCAGGGCGCGGCGTAGCTTGAGACACAGCGTCGGTTTGAGACGCAGCGTGGGGCGCGGCGTAGCTTGAGACGCAGCGTCGGTCTGAGACGCAGCGTGGGGCGCGGCGTAGCTTGAGACGCAGCGTCGGTCTGAGACGCAGCGTGGGGCGCGGCGTAGCTTGAGACGCAGCGTAGGAGACGCAGCGTGAGAGACGCAGCGTGAGAGACGCAGCGTGGGAGACGCAGCGCAGGAGACGCAGCGCAGGGCGCGGCGTAGCTTGAGACGCAGCGTCGGTTTGAGACGCAGCGTGGGGCGCGGCGTAGCTTGAGACGCAGCGTCGGTTTGAGACGCAGCGTGGCTTGAGACGCAGCGTAGGAGACGCAGCGTGAGAGACGCAGCGTGAGAGACGCAGCGTGAGAGACGCAGCGTCGGTTCGAGACGCAGCGTGGGGCGCGGCGTAGCTTGAGACGCAGCGTCGGTGTGAGACGCAGCTCAAGTAGGCAGTAGCAAAAGGCAGCAGGCTGAGGCAAGGCAATGCAGTTTTAGTGACAGTGAGGGTTAGAAATAGAGTATTAGGTTTGGTGTAGTACCATCAAACATAGAGTTTGGCAGAGTAGAGTGGCTATAAATTGGAGCAACAAAACAGCATGGAACAAACAGCCAGACAGTGTTAATGTTATCACCATGGGCCGCAGTGCGGTCTAGCCGTGGCATGCAGGGGGGGCAGAGTTAAAATTGTTAGTTTTAGTTATGTATTAGCAGTAATGTGTTCAAAATAGCAACATGCGCTAGAAGTAGCAGAGTTACAGTATGAAACTTGGTCAACGCAGTAATGTAGCTTAACAATTATGTTCAATAGGAGAAGCAGAAACAGAGTGTTAGCTGTACCAATGTATAGCAGTAATGTGGTTATTTGACAAAGCAATATGACATGCAGAAGGAGCAGAGTTACAGTATAGGATTAGTTAGCACGGTAATGTGTTATTCATAACGTGCAGTAACAGAGGCAGAACCAAATTATTAGCTTTTGTTATGTATAGCAGCAATGTGGTCTAACACAAAGAAAGAGAAAAGAAAAACATATGGCATGCAGAAGGAGGGGTAGAATTAGCGTAGTAGTTTATTACAATCAAACATCAAGTTTGGCAAAGTAGAGATTTTAGTTGGAACAGAAACAGCAAGGGACAACAGCCAAACAGTGTTAATGTTACAACCACAGCCAATCACTTGATCATGAGACGTAGTGCAGGGTAAAAAGTCAAGACAGCAGCAATGTGGTCCCGGAAGTGGTTCACCGGGACCGGAAAGCGATTCTGTGTTAGACAATAAAGTGGTGCGGCTCGTTTAGCAGTGTGTAGAGTCGGGTTAGCACTTCATGATCGTCAAAACACAGAATCAGAGTGAAATAGGATAGTACGAAAGTATAGTACGTTTTGTTATTGTTAGACAACGGGTAGGCAATGCAGCAGAATGGTATCAGCAGTGGGGATGCGGCTCTGGCTTTTAGCGCGCCAGGGCCGGAAGTTAGCCGTATGCTAAAAACAAAGGAGCGTAGCTAGCTAGTTTTGCCGGCAACGGCACGTTTTTAGAAGCAGTTTGAGCAGTAAACAATGAGTTTTAGTAACCGAATGCAGTTTGGTCAAACAGAGTAGCACTAGTTTTAACGGTAGAGAAGCAGCTTATAGTGTGAGCAGTAGTAGGACAACAATGTTGTCCGAGTGTAGCTTTGAGGCTTAGCAGGCCCGAGCGGAAGTTAGCTTAGCTAGAACAAAGGAGGGTAGCTTAGCCGTTAGCTTTCGAGCGCGGAGGTTTTAGCAGTAGTTTATACAACGAAAGTCTGGAGCGAGTTGTACGGTTCGCACAAGCACGTATTTGCAGTGGTGGAATGGGGTTTGTATGTATGTACTGTAGGGTGCTGGTGTGTGTGTACAACAGCAGGTTAGCAGGCAGAGAGAGTGGTGAGACAGAGTTAGCGTTAGCAACCTTTAGCAGAACGATAGCATCACATTCAAACAGCTGCCATTTACAGCCTTTTACACCGATATACTCGGTTACAATCCTGTGTGACTCGGGTCACAAAGGAGCACAGAGGAGGTCTGTACGTTCGTGTTCTGGACACGGTGCACAGTGGTTACAAGGAGAAGTTTTTGCGCTTTCTCTTCAGAGGGAAGCGGCTTCACATTCCACGCTGCCCACGGGGCGACACGTTGCAGGAGATGTGTAATACCTGAACGAAAAGTCAGGATTTGAGACTAAATTATATAGTCTAGTGCAGGGGTGCTCACACTTTTTCAGCATGCGAGCTACTTATAAAAGGATCAAGTCAAAATGATCTACCTACTACAAAAATGCAAATCATATATTTATTTCAAAGAATATTCTTTATACCTACAATGTATGTTTATGTACATGCAAAACCGCATGAGCCAATATAGCACAACACAACACAATTACCTATGTACATTTTTTGTCATTACCCGTTTACTCTGATGACTTGCACTGAATTGAATCGGCCAGGGAGGCATAGTCCGGAAAATTGGTGGTAACTCGCTGACAAGTTTGTCGTGGTTTAGCTTTCCTGCACTGAGCGCGGTTGTTTGCGCATGTGCAGTCACCTAAGTGTCAGTAAAACATTACTGAGTAAAACACAGATGTCATTTGACTGTGGTGCCATGGCCATGTGCCATGCCCGTTTTTTTTAAATCCAAATATGTCCCCTCCTCCGTTTATAAAATAATTTGCATCCACACATCTGCGTTATCAATCACATTTGTAACATTCCAAACATGTGCGTCTCTTACGTCCTGTCCTGCGTTGGGGAAAAACACGGAAGTGGGCGGAGCTTTGATGCAGATGCCGGTAACGGCACTTTTACAGTCATAGAAGACACTCAGAGTAAAGACGTATGTTTACAAGCACTGACCCCGTCCTCAGCCCTGATTTAGTCCTGGTTTAGTCCTGGTTTAGTCCTGGTTTGGTTGTTTTCGAGCGTGAGTCCCCGCGATCACTTTGCTGCTCTCTGATGTGGAGGATGTTTGCTGCTGCAAGCATCTCACAGCGATCAATTTTTAAGGTAGTATGATCCATGCTTCAGTGATCAGAGGAATTTAGGGAGGTACTGAGGCGTGCGAGAACGCAAAACTCCGGTTATCTCTGTCTACACACAAATGCATTAACGGAGTTTTCAAAAATCTCCACTTTGCCCGGAGTTTTTTGTATATGTTCGTTTAGAATGTGTAATTTTTTCATTTATTTAATGCGATCTACAAATACTACCTTTGCGATCGACTGGTAGATCGCGATCGACGTATTGAGCACCCCTGGTCTAGTGGGATCACGAGCGCTTTTGTTGCAAGCGGTCGCGTTAGGGGAGCTCGATTGTTGTCAAATCCACCATAGCAACGGGGGTAGAGGAGCAGAGGGGGTGCGGGAGTGGGGGGAAAGCGCTTGGAGCGGGCAGTGGCAAAGTTAGCGTTTACGGATCAATTCACAGAGTATGAGGTTGATAAATTCTGGTCCATTTACGCGGATCTCACACACGGGGCACCATTATGTAGGGTAACTACTTAAATTGCTGATTATGATTACTTATTAGTATAAATTTGGTAGTGTGGAGCGGCTAGTCTCCGGAGCGGAAGCTCGCCGTTCCACCAACAGGTCTATGTTATTTATTTTGGGCACCAGCAGAGCTCGAAATCTGCACACAGACACAAACCAAATCTTTGCCTCGATATCAATCTTATAATCTAAAGGTGTAGAATACGTTTTATCCGCCAGTGATAGTCCGAGATCTAACAACACGACTCTGATAGGATTGAGTTAAAGAAAAGGGATTTATTGATTACAAAGTGGGATGAAGCATAACGAAAAGGGATTTCTGGTCACATTTGAGTAGGAACTGTACACATTTCATTCAAATTGAACATTTAACACTGGAGCAGTCTTACTTTGGAGGAGCGTAGAGGATGGAGAAGGGCTTTGGGTTGGGAAACAGCCCACGTGGTTTCTTTGTCCGGGCAGGCGGGAGTTATGAAGCCTGCGGGTTTGGTCCAGCTGTTGGTGCACGCGAGCCAGGGAAAGAGGCTGGTGATGAACAGTTCGTAGATTCCAACCAGAAAGGAGGCTTGCGTGAAAGCGGGAGGCCTCGGGCGGACGGCACAGTCGTTGCTGGAGGCACGTACTTGCGTGGCCGCAGGGCTGAGAGGGAGGTTGCGAGCGTAGGCCGTGTAGGGGACACGTACCCACGGGGTGGTTGTTATAGTGGATTCGGGAGAAACAAGAGAAAGAACAATGGCGTGTGGGTGCTCATATAGGCTTCCCAGGGGGCGTGTCCATGCCGCCCCTGCCCTCTGTGGACAGACCCCTTTTACAACAGACAGTTTGTAAAGGAAACACACAGGATTGATGCTAATAATCATAAGACATGTACAAACACACACCGTATTTCATTACTTTGACACTGATACACACATATGGGGCACAATGCAGATTATTGGAGTACTGGACCCAGGGGTACCGGTTCGCAATTGTCCGTCCCGGGTGTGATAGTGTCCATTGTTCACAAGGGGGCGTCAGAGCGCCGCGGGGGAGTCTTTGATTGTCCGGTGGCAGGAGTCTGTGAGCGAGGGCAGGGTTGTGATCTTTGATCTCTACAGGCAGGCAGAGACAGAGGTGCTTATCCCCGTGGTGACTTTATTGCTCTTTTTGGCATCTGTAATCCTCATGATTGATGGCGGCTTGTGGCTGACCCCATGGCTCCTTTGAAGCTGTATCTCTCCATTTGGTCAATGGTAAACAGAGTGGACAGGCTTGGTCCTGCCCTAAGTTTAACCTTACATCTGTCTAAAAAAGCTGCTCTAAAAATGAGGCCAAACATACATACAATTGATAGAACCAGTATGTTTTGAGAACAAGGACCATATTATATATTATAATAACATTTTATACTACATTATATATATTTGTATATTACAAGATTTAGTTTAGTTTATTGAGTGCTTGGACAAATACACATGTTTGCAGATTATTATACAGAGGGCTCAAAAGGAGTCGACAGGAGGAAAAATGCTTATGTGGGCATACCCCTTTTAACATTGGTAGGTGAACAGCACACTTTCATGATTACAATCCAAGAATATAAAAGTGTTTCATGAGCTGAGACCAACATTATTTAGATGAGGGCACAACCATAGAGCATGAAATGAGTCAGTAGCAGGTGCGAGAAAGTTTGACATACATAGTCAACAGAACATAGTCTACACACCATTGGTAGTGGTTGTGTGAAGCCCTTTCTTGTCATATAAAACTTGTGTTCTATTTTCAAATGATAATGGAAGCAGAAACTCCTCTTCTGACCCTGATCAGAGAAGTCTCCATACCCCAGTTCTAAATAGCGTGTATTTCCCCTCCAACGTCTTCAACAGATTTCTTTTGTGGTAGTTGTGGATAGATTTTTTTATCCTCTCCAATGGTAAAGCTGTCCATTTTACTTGGCCTTGCAAGCACATCTGAAATCTCTACAGAGCAGCTCAATGATGAAATGACTTAGAATGTTTTGGTTGTGGGTGTGTAAACTTGCAATCCTTTGTAAACATTTGCATCTTGTGTTAAAGCATCACAGATAGGTCCTGACTGTCACATGTTAGAAGTCACGTTGGATATTTTGGTTAAAAGTGTCTTGTGTCTCATTCACATGTCTCCAGCTCTCCTCTCTCTCTCTCTCTTTCTCTCCCCAGCCCTTCCCCTCCCTGTCGTCAGTGCTGTCGTCACCCGTAGGTGTCTTGTGTCCCCCGGCGCGCCCACCCCTCTCTCATGCTGCCGCTGATGGAACGGCAGTGACATCTACTGAGGGAGCAGAGCACTGAGGCAGGATGAGAGGAGAAGAGGAACCGACAAAGTGAAGTATGGAGATGTGATGGTCAACAGTGGAATTCCAGTATGTATCATAATGCATTTAGCCTGGGTAATATGAATAGTCAAACTGTATATATACAGTATATTTCTAAATCACTGCCCAAGGGCTGTCATACCAACATTAGTTATACTAAAGTTGCTGCTACTGTACAGTACTTACATTTGAAATGTAATTTAGTAATTTGGCTGGCAATGGGTTTTGGTATTTTTAAAAAGAGGATTGTCTTCTTCTTTTCTAGTCATTTGAATGAACAGGGGATGAGTATATAGTATGTTTTGATATTTTTGAATTGTATGGGTTTTAAAAAGAAAAAAAAAAACTTCTGTTTTTTGGTTATTCATTTTGTTTCAATTGGAGTGTTCTACAGGTTTGTTTTGCTCTATTAAAAGCAATATCTATGTTCATTCTATATATCTATAGTGGCAAGGCAAGGCAAGTTTATTTGTATAGCACAATTCATACACAAGGCAACTGAAAGTGCTGAACAAAAAAAGAAAGCATTAACATCATAATCACAGTACTTTAAAAAGAAAGATAAAAATATAAAATATAAAATCCCTCAGTTGTATGCACAGCTAAACAGAACTGTTTTCAATCTTGTCTTAAACATTGTCAGAGAGGAGGCCTGTCTCACATCTTCAGGAAGATTGTTCCAGATTTTAGCAGCATGAATCTGAAAAGCAGCCTCCCCATGTTTAGTTCTGACTCTGGGCACTAACAGGAGTCCAGTCCCTGTGCTCCTCAGAGTCCGGGCTGGTTCATATGGGACTAACATGTCACTAATATATTTTGGTGCGAGGCCATGGAGAGACTTGTAACAAGCAGAGCTGTTTTAAAGTCTATTCTCTGAGCCACAGGAAGCCAGTGCAGAGACCTGAGAACTGGACTAATGTGGTCGTACTTCCTGGTTCTAGTCAGGACTCGAGCTGCTGCATTTTGAATGTACTGCAGCTGTTTTACAGCCTGTTTGGACAGACCTGTAAGCAGGCCATTGCAGTAGTCTAACCTACTGGAGACAAATGCATGGATAAGAATCTGCAAGTCTGCTTTAGACACTATGTTTTTGATCCTGGCAATGTTTTTTTAGGTGGTGAAAAGCTGTTAGTGCTTTTTGTTATTATTTCTATTTTTATGATCAATTGCTCTGTGGACTGGGTGCAGCTCTGACTGCCACCCCCCCAACCCAGAAATGGATTCAGGGGAAGAAAATGGATGGATGGATGGATGGATGGATGATCAATTTATTTTTTGGAAACCTGAATTTCTCCTCTGGGGGATCAATGAAGTATCTGTCTATAATTCCACCACGAGACCTGCTCCCACTGATGTCAGCTATCGCTGTGTCACTGGGCAACACACTTAACCCCACTTTGCCGAAGCCCCTGCTAAAAGATTAAGGCTGCCTCATCGCTGATGGAGCAGCCTGGTTCAATACACAATCTTTGTGAAACTACCACCATTTTGTGGCAGCACAGATCCGTCATAATCACATGACCCTCAGTTCCAGCCACATCATCACTGCATAATTTGCGGGGCTTGGCCTTTGTTTTTCAGTTTTTCTGCGGCAGCTCATGGGTTCTGCCTGAGTGGGAGTCTATTACTTTGAACGGGAAAGATAGAAAATAATAGGAACTGCTAACAGTCTTCACCTCAGAGAAAAAAGGTGCTGTCAGCATCAAATTCCTCATTAATTTGAGGAATACCTTTAGACTAAAAAAACGTATGTTTTGTCATTTGTCAAATAACTCCTTATGTTTCTTTAGTACCACCAATTTGTATTCTTGTCAAACCCACTTCCAATAATCTGTATCTTTGTAATTATCGTCCAAGCCACAACAGCTATTTAAAACCATTACATAATGTCACCCCCGCTCTTTGTTTGTTAACCAATCCCTGATCACAAAGGAAAGACTTGCACAGTTTACACAAATGAACATGCTCAGTAAATGTTGCTTTTGACAGGCGTCTTCAGATGAATTATTCAAGGACTAATTTCCATAAAGCTCCGGTTTATCCAGACATGAATTACAATTGCAATTGTATGTGCACAAATGCAACCAGCTTATTACAATAATCGAGCACAGAAAATATGCACACAGGGATACTAGGAGATCTAACTGGAACAAATGAACATCCAGGATTCATAAGACAGCTGCTTTATTCCGCATGTTGTGGTTTTTAAGGATCATATGTGATGTTAAACTACTATTATGAGCTGTAACCAGGCCGTTTTTCTTGCTATTGAAAGCAGATGCTGTTGACATTCATACCATCAATCCAGTTTAAACCCGTTGGCCACACTAGCTCTAATTTTAGCAAACTCCGCAATGCACCAACAAAGCCGTTTTGATTTGAAAATGTTTGTGCCTATGGGCAAGGCTCTCCAGCCATTCCTTATATTAGTGTCTGTCTACACTGGTGTATGAATGAATGAGTGCAAGAGTGATTTAAATGTTTAAATACAAGCTTTTAAAATGCAATGTGCAATATCTACTTGCCTTTACTGTGAATCTTGTGAAGTAAGTACTTGAATGGGAAACATAAACAAGGTGCCTTAGTGGAAAGGCTTGGTCCATACAAAACATATTGCTGTTGTTTCTTTCATCAACATAGTTTTTTTAGCGCAGACAAACAATACAAATATTAAATAGCGATTAATTGCACTAGTGTCATAATGATTAATCACACATTTTCCCCTGTTCTTAATGTCCTTTGATTTGGTTATAAATTTGGTTATAATTTTCTTTATGCTTTTACAGTGTATAGAACTATTTAACAAAGTAGAAATGAATTGAATTGTGTAACAAAGGCTATGCTTTTGTTGAGGCTTGTGTAGAGGCTTGGAAATAGAGCAGAACGATTAACAGGCACCCCTCATTTTATTTTGTTATTGAGAACTTTATTTTTGTTTGTTTAGAGTGGGTAGAAAGTAGACTGAGCGCTGCAGAGGAAGAATCAATCCACTTGAAGTAAACGCAGCTCAACGCATGTGCTCTTGTCTGTTCTTTTTATCACAGGTTGGTAAAACGTTAAAAACACATGTTGATGCCAATTGTTAGAGTTATCAGGTGTCTTAGGAGTGTATTGTGAACCGTGGTAATGTGTAGAGTGAAGTTTGTGTGAGGGTTTGTGTGAATATGTGTCTCGTTTTTTATGCTAACCTGCTAAGCTAATGGTCATGGTAGGGAAATCGCGACGTGGGTAAACTTGAACCACACCACTTTGTGGTACAAGAACCACATGAGTAGTGGCATTTGTGAACATTTATGAAACTTATTTCATGTAATACTGTTTTGTTGAGTTTATTTGATTGTTTAAACAATTATCAGTAGACAGTATTGTAAGTGCAAAAAAGCACATGGTCCAGTTCTGAGTCTGGTGCCACCTTGTGGACATTTAAAATTAGTACACAACCACCGAGAATAATTGAGACGATTTCTTTGTTTTTCTTTTGTAAATTCAAATATTAAAAACAGTAATTCATTTAATGTAAAAGCTCTTGTTAAAAATGGATATAGTTCGTGTTATTGTGAATATGGAAAAATGTAAAAGTAAATGTACATTTTCTGATTGATTGCTAATGAGGAAGAATCAATCCTCTTGAAGTAAACGCAGCTCAACGCATGTGCTCTTGTCTGTTCTTTTTATCACAGGCGTTGCTTCACGGAGGCATATGCCCTCTGAACCACTAGTCAGAGGAGCAACACTTGCATTCAGTCAGTTTTTTTTACAGTGTAGATGACAATCACGTGGATCAGTGGAAATAAGTATATCTTCAAATGTTGAGCTGTAATTTTAGACATATTTGTGATTTCTGATAGACGTGCTGTAGTCACCAGTGAGCACAACTGCTTTTGTATTATCCAAATTATGCTGTACCTTACAACACCTATACAGTGCACGTAGGGTGCTCTGGGGCTGATGTCAGATAAGCCTAGGGAATGCAAAATGCGCGCCGAGGCTCTCATCAGCCCAAAATATAACCCACGCGTTTTTTGGCCATGCAGTGATGTGGATTTCTGTCAAAATACAGAGGAAACATGCATGTGTTCATGCTTTTTTTGGTCAAGAGCAATGGACTTTTGCTGTCCTCTGGCTTGTACTGTCCCCTACACTTCTCCATAGACTTGCGCGTGTGTTAATCATGCAATAAAAATGTTTAAATGGGTGTGCATGAATGGTAGTTTATTGTTGTTTATTGTTCTGTTGTCAGAACAGCGTTTATTGACTCATTATACATCAAGTTTCAGTATGAATGATAAAATAAATAGACTGGATTTACCAGAGCGTGTTGATCATCATGTGTCAGTGTTTTAACACTTAGACGCATGATGATCAACATTTAATCATGTTTAGTCATATCCAGTTACAAAAGTTGTGTATTAGCTTTGTTTTACTCTATTGGCTGTCTTCAGCTATTGGCTTAGTTGCATTACAACATGAAGTGTGGCCTATGTGTGGACAAAATTATAGTTTATATACAGATGTGTTTACTAGTCCAGTAAGTGCTGTTACTAACTAACACTCATTCACCCTACAAGGTTTTAAGTGGTAGAGGAAACCTGAACCTATCTAGTCACAAGGGGAACACGAAAACCGAATTTAACACATGCCAAGTTGTACTTTATTTTCCCTGTAGAGAAATTTTTCCTCTGCATTTGATCCATTCTTCATTCAATTTAATTCAATTTGTTGGCCTTTTATTTATTGTTTTGCATCCTGAAGAAGGCTAAGCTAGGCCGAAATGCGTTGGTGCGTATTTTAAATTACAGCCATGAGAAAATAAAGACTTTTTAACTCTCTAAACTTTTTGACTTTCTAAGCTCTTCATAACTTGCCTTTACCTTGAAAGTCAACACTCCACTTTTTTGACAAATGTTCCACAGTGTTATTGGGGAA